ACTCTTCTTCATTAAACTTCCTATGTGACTATTGTAGCAATTTCTAGGTAGATAACTCCAAAGTCAAATGACTTGTAGGACACGAGGTATTAAGATATTCTGCATGCTTAATCACTCAAGTCATATAAGATATGAATAAAAGTATAAAATTGTCTCACAATATTTTAAGTAATTCAAATACTTTTTTTTTTTTTTTTGAAGTTCAGCTGAAATCTTTCTTTTAAGGGGAATATAGAAGAGTTAAGGTCAATTAGTTTAAAGGTCATTCCATATACAAAGTCAACTCATCACACCGATGACCGCCATCCCAGTTCTCATACACGATGTCAAAATTCACTCACAATAGCTTAATATGTGCAGTGTAGATGATTCATGCAAGAACCTATAACAAGTGCTCCAAATAAGTTATAAAAGTTAATGAAAATTTTATTTACTATTCATTAATTATATTAGTACTTGATCACAAATTAACGTGTCCAAAAAAATATTAATTGAAAAATTCTTTTTCCTTTCAAAATTTTTTTTTTTAATTTCAATTTTTTATTTTTTCAAAATAGTAAACAAAATGCACGACAAATAAAACAAGAAAAGAAAATTTAGAGTACATGCATGAATATGTAAACATCGTGAATAAATCAGATGCATGCACCTAAATGCTTAATCAATGAGGCATAAAAAAACTCTTACCATGAAGAGTAACGAGAAATATCACAACTAATAGCATCACTTTAATCTATGAGTTCACTCTTCTTGACTCAAACTTTCTTAGAGGAAAATATAATTTTAGTCAATTGAGTCATTAACCCAGTTAAGTGACTCACTTGATTAGTGAAGAATCTAACATGAATAGTTAGATCTTATTTGTTGTTCCTAATCAAGGATTTACAATACTTGAGGTCTAATTTGCTCTCCATAATTGTGACAAATGGGAAAAATTTAGGAGCAAACCTGGGTTTCAAATTTTGAACCTTAGGTGGAGAAAATCTATGTTGTATATATGATTTGAGTCTTTAGGCACCTACATTCTTGGTCTTCTTCCTACTTAAGAGCTTGCACACTTAGGTTTAATGTGTCCTAACTTATCACAATGATGACACGTGGGGATAAATCTAGGAGCAACTCTAGGTTTCAATTTTTATACCTTAGGCTTGATTGAGATAGATACACAATTATTGTTAGTAGAGGAAGTGGTATGGAAATTTGTTTTATTATTGCTTAAATCTCCTCTATTCCCAGTTGTCTTTTTCAGAGCTATCATGTTATGAATCTTCTTAGATCCATTAAGGAAAGATTGAAGTTGGATATTTGACTTTTCAAGATCACTCATAAACGTTGTAACCTTAATTTTCAAAGACTCTTTTTCAACCCTTAAATCATTCAATCTTTTGATAGACTCATCAAGTTTAGCTAAGGCTCTCTTTCTCTAATTCAAGTTGATTCAATTTTTTGAAGACTGGTCTGTTAGTCTTACGTAATTTGATACTCTCCTTACACATCTGGTCATAAGTCTCGTGAATATCCATATCATCCTCAAATCCTACATGAGAATGTGATTAACTCATCTAGAAAATTATTGGTTCAAGGATCTCAATTGAACTCTGATACCAATTGAAAATTTATTTCATAAAGTATGTACAATGCTAATAACACTTGTTGGAAATTATCTTTGTTTAGACCCAAATGTGAAATTAAACCAATTAAAAGCAACAAGTCACTTATTAATTATTTCTAGATTATTAAAGTAATTAATTCAATTAATTCATATGTTTAAACAATCACAAACATTCATATCAAAGTAGTAAATAATTAAATAACACCAAAGATGAACATGGAGGAAAATCCCAATTCAGAATTAAAAACCTCCAAAAAACTTGTCTGTAAACAATCTACTAGAAAATTTAAATTACAATTAGTCCAGACACTACTAAACTTTAGCTGAATCTGATCACTAAACTTGTAAATCACCAAGGAACTCCGTTGGTATTGCACGTCCTTAACTCCAAGAACTTTGGGCCACTTTTATCCCCCCTGGCACTAGGAACGAATCTTGTTCGTCACTAGAACCTTGTTCCGCAACGCTCGAACTCCAAGCGCCTCTTTTCCCAAACTTCAGAACTTTGAATGCTTATAGGTAAAGGTAGGATTTTGTTTGGTATTTGATGAAAAAATCATTTTGTGCTTACATTTGTTGATCGAGACACGAGATACTAGAATATATTTTGGATTTTCAAACTAAAGTATGTTATCTTGACTTAATTTGAAGCTCAACCAATGTTAGAACAATGTTTGGGATTCAATATGAAGAATATAAATAAGGTGGTTGAATCAAGAAATCAATTGAATGTGTTTCGGATCTTCAAGAATATGATCTCTATGATAAAATAATGATTCAACACACCTTTGTACTTTCCGTGTATTGTATATTTATAATGGGAAGCATTTGAGGTTGAATATGATTAGAAAACGATTAAGAATCACAAAAATAGGGTTGGCAACGTAACAAGACTGCTCGAGCGCCAGATTAGCACCTAGCGAGCGGCCACAATCTGTTTTGGCACTCGAGCGCCTAGAGGGCAGCCAACAAGCTCCTTTTGAGCAACTGTCAGTATTTTCATCGTATCTTTATCTCCCAATATCGAATTGAGCCTATTCAAAGTGCATTAAAAAGATAACCCGAAGAGCTACAATTTTTATAAATAAAATTTTTGAAATTTGAATATTTTCTATGTGAAAAATGCGTTGCAACTTGTGACTGAGAATTTGAAGCCAACACTTTAATACTCGTTTGACTTCTAATTCATTCCATTTATCATATATGATCTTCTTAGACATCTTTGAATCATCTAAGGATTATACTACCAACCCTTAACTATTTTGACTTTAACTATGACTCCATTACTTTATTTTTATCTAAGGAATAGGCAATTACAAATAGAGATCTATCAAAAGATATTCTTATGTTTCAAATTAGTCAAGTGAACTTGAACTCATTAAAATCGACTCAATGTTGTCAAAATTATCCTATTCTTTAATTATCACCAGCCAAATTAACACAGGACTATAATGAAAAAGGAACATAGTAGGGGACGAGGAACGAAATTCAAATGCTGCCCATGGCATGGGTGCTACTATCAGAAAGGTTGTCAAGTTGTCTTATGGCTATGGTCAGGGGTGGACGCAGACTTTAAAAGTTAGGGGGACACAATCGAAATTGCAAAGAGGTTGGGAGAAATTTTGCAATAGAAAATTTACGTCCAAAAAAAATCATACCACATGTAAATTTACATCCAAAAATTTACATGGGATATATTTTTTCGGATGTAAAATTTTGAAAATTTTTGATGTCATATTCCATATAAAATTTCCTAATAAAATGATGAAAAGTACATTGAGAAATTTTTTAAAGAAATAATAAATGTTAAAGAAATAATTGAATTTTTAAAAAAATGCGAGTTAGACCACTTTTTTTAAAACTCACGTTTAACGTATTTTTAACTATTTTCGATATCTATTTGGATTATTCGATATACGCGTAATGTAGTTCTCGAAATAAGATTTGAGATGACATAAGCAATTTGTAGATTCAATTAACATACGATTGTCAGAGAATTTTTAAAATCAACATGTTATTGAAATTCAAATTTATTGTAATTTTGCCCCTATTTGGTGGAGATTAAAATCAATTTTTTAGTAAATTTTGATAAAAGTTAAACAGTTATGGATTTCATGAAATATGTTATTAAAATTAATTGTTAACTTGATTTAGATTAAAATTTAAATTTCATCGATACCAAACACGATTTTATAAANAAAAAAAAAACTCAAAAGTTGGGGGCACTTGCCCCCCTAGGACCCCCCCCCCCCCCTCCCGCTCCCCCTCCCCCTCCAGGTCCGCCCATGGCTATGGTGTCAGTCTTTTCATATCAATTTGACTTGCTGCACGTTTTTTGGTCAGAAATTCAGTTCAATTTCATTATATGTAGAACCTCTATTAATTAGAAACTTTGGGCCTCATCTAGGAGCCAGCACGGCAGCTCTTTATGGATGTGCCAGGAAAAAGATTAATGAAGATTTATGTTGTGTGTGTGTGTACTGACCTTCAACAAAAGGGAGTGTGGATCATATGTTAGAGGGGTCACTTTAGATGTGAGAGGTACAGAGTTCAATTATATGCACTCCCATTTTTATGTTTAATTTTTTAATACTATAAATAATAACTAGAAAATTATATATATATATATATATATAAACTCAAATTACTATTTCATGATGAATATACTTTTATTGTTATGTTTTATCAATTTATTTTATTAAATTCAAATTTGGACAATCTAAGTGCTACTCTTTATTCTTGAGTTTAAAAAATACTTTTTTCTTCTAAGGTCAAAAATAGTTATAGTTTTAAAAATCGTTGTTTTCAAAATTTTGCATAACCTTTGCCTAAGCTTAAAACTTGTATTTACTTTACGTATAAACTTCATTTAGTCTCGCTTAAGTTCGTAAAAAACTTGAAACTTGATCGTACATCTATGATTGAAAAATATATTTTTTTTCTTATTATTTTCGGTTGTATGGAATTATATTTTCAAATGTATATGACTTTTTCATTTTAGTACATTTATATATTGGTTGAAAATTTTTTAATATTATTTAATTAAATATTAATAAACAATCTTAATATTGTAACCGTCAACGATCAACGGCTGCCAAAACTCACTTAATATCTTGGATTCGCCGGTGATTGAAACCCAATGGATTTTCTCCCATTTTACCCACTAGCCTTTGTTACTACTTCTTTAAGTATACCTTTTACACGATATACAATAGTGATGAAAAATAATATTGAAATCTTATCCATTCTCCATATGTTATTGTTGATGCAGCATAGAAAGAATAAGACTTTTATGAAAAGTCGGACCAGTGTCAAAAGATTTTTTTTTATTGAAATCTTTTTTTTTTTTTTTGGGCATTTTAAGACAAAATGATAACAGACCATTGAATTACATGAAACTTTGCAATTTCATTAAGATATCAAGAGCTACACTTGTCAAACTCCCACGCATCCTGAATTTTATTGTAGTTGACAGAATATTAAAATCGTTTTTTGTCACAGTTCTCTTATTGTACTCATATATATTTTGCATAAGCTGCACTATAAAAAGCATATTTAGAACAGCCTCGAAGTGTTTTGATTTTGCAGACTCCTCAAACCCTGAAAATCACAAGGAAAACAAGAAAATAATAACATCAGCACTAATAGTGAGAATTGATTATTAAATGCGAGTAGATAAAGAATAAAATTAGGGTTAAACTTGTTTCACGAGGTCAATGACATGGGTTATTTCCAGGTGCTGAAATGACAGTTTTTGATTGGCAGCTTTTTCTTTTTTAACCGTCAATGAAATTTTGCTAAGTGTATATATGTATAAAATCCTGTCATTAATCATGTTCATATAGCAGATGTGATAAAATTAGTAATGGAATAGAAATTGCATCCTACTGGATATAGTCAACTCGGACTCTTCCGGCATCAACGTTAGCAATCCTGGAGAAGGCATCTTGAGAGAGATTAATCTCGTTGGCTCGGCATCCTGTACAAAGATCGACAATTTTTACAGTGACTTCACCTCCTTTGCATGGATTTGGCGTAGCGTTGGTGCCTCCCAAGCACCTCACCTTATACCTTCTTCCACATACTTTTCCACCATCGTACAATGTAGGATTAGCTCCTGCTATCATGATGCCTTGGTCTTGATAGCCAAAGCATGCTGATGCTGCACATGGTTTAACAAACGTGTTACATTTGTTGGAATTTGTAAATGTAGATAAGTGGATGTTTGGTAGAATTTATTTGGGAATAATGAGTTATGGAATAGTATTTTTTTGGAGAATGTGTGGTTAAAGAGTAAGGAAACTTTATTGATTTGTGTGTAGAATATTTTATTGTGTGAATGTGTGGTAGAGAAATGATACTGGAGCAACTAAAGTGTATAGAATATTTTATTGTGTGAATGTGTATATAATATTTTAAAAACAGCTAAAGTTTGAATTGTGTATTTGTTGAGCCACTTCATGTAAAGGTTCCAATTCTTAAAGACGAGACATGTTTTTTTATTTAAAAATATAATCTTCAACATTGCTTGTTAAACTAACAAAATATACTCACGAAGGTAAGGTCGAGAATAGAAAACAGAAGTTCCCTGCTTAGCATGTACAACTGAGGCCAGGCATACGGACATGCCCAATATCATAAGAACTCGAATTTGAAAACCCATTGTCTGTTGGTTTGGAACTCTGGTGCCCAACGGGTGAGTATATGTTGTGATTTCTTGAAATGCTTTTGCCACATTTATAGAGGGCAAAAAATTGAACAACCCAATTGTTATGATCATCCCTAAATAAGAAATCATTACATTCAACCCAATTTCGAAAGCACTACTGACTTTTTATTTGCACCATATGCAAGACTATGAAAAATGCATTATAAGTCTTCCACTAATATTCCATTATACAAATTCAGAAAGTCTCTAAAGTCTTACACTAAATGTATATTTCTACAAAAATTAAATTGCCACTTATCTTGGTTTAGAAATTTTCTTTTATTAAATTCTTGGTTTAGAAAATGACTTCCACGAAGAAGTTTAACTAGTGATTAAGTCTTAACCCAAATTAATGAGAAAAAAATAAAACCTCACCAGCTGTCGTCCTCGGAAAAAATCTGCACTGCATGTCTCCTGACCAATACACTCCGCACTTAATGTTGATAGCTTAATTTTTTTTCTAAATTTCAAGTATTGTAAGACCATTTATGATATGATGTTCAGTCAAGAAGTGCATACTGTGCTTAGTGAAAAAGTGCTTGCTATAGGGGTGTTAAAGTGGACGAGCCAGTCGCCGTATGAGCCGAGTGGAGAAATTCTCGACTGGTACGATTTGGCTTGCGAACTTGAGTCCCCCTAGTCATGAAAAGATGCAACAATGACAATTGCTGCATGAATTTTTGTCATTGCTGCATTTTCTCTGTTGAACGGCTGCATGAAAATTAAATTTGAATATTCCCATTACATTGTAGATTTTTTATATTGAGATTTTGCCTAAAAAAACGCAGTGTCACTGTCTTCTTATTTTTTCGCACAGCTTCTACTCTCATCATACATTCTCTAGATCTTTTATTTTGATACATCATCTATTCTCATCATTCTCTAAAGTGTTTGATTGATTGTTGGTTTTTTAGATCTTTTATTTTGATACATCATTCTCTCAAGTGTTTGATTGAATTTTTTTTTTTTTTTCATATATCGTAATTTGTTTGGTATTAGTATTATTATACCACTTTAAAAAAATAGCTTTCACTATCTAATCTTTACTTCTATATTTTTTGTTACATTCTTATATCTCAGATTTTTACGTAATGGCTAGCTCACCATCATCTTCTTCGAACAAACAAAATTATTCAGTTTCTTGTCAAACTTTAAAGTTCTTAAGGAAAAAAAACAATTTACATCGTTTGATAAGATGGAAAAAAAAAAATTATTCTTCATAAACCGCAGATATAGTATTTATTTAACCATTGATTATGTGTTTTGTTGGCAGTAATCGAACATATATTTAGTAACATTTTATTTTGATGATTGTTCAAGAAAATATCTTTTGAATTAAAACTACCTCAAGTGTACGGTTCATTAACGAGTAATAAAGTGAATTTGAGTCCAAGTATTGTCACACAGAGATTGATTTAGTTTAATTTTAATTAATGCGACCTCAACCAAAACAAGAATAATATGATGTGTGTGTTTGTGACAAAATTATGACTAAATTAATCTACTATGCAATTATGAGTAAATTAACTCAACTAAATGCAAATTGATGTGTTTAATAAATGATAAATGCACTACAATCCTGAATTCCTATGCAATAATCATTTTTAACCTTAATTCTGTACTTTGAAAATACAATTGAATTTTGACGAATCAATGTTCCTATTTTATTCAACAATCTCTCTTGAGTAATGTTAAACTTACTCTTATACATGACTTGACTATATTTCTATGACGGATGCGAACATATAAGAGTCCATGAATTTTTATGAACATTTAAAAATTCACATAAAGCATAACGATATATTTATATTTCCTATCGGATCCTATGACGATTTACACCATGTCGAACATATTTCCCTTCTTTCGAATGCATAAAATGGGCCACCAAATTCATATGACTACCATGCACAATAATCTTAGAGAAAGATCATGTAAACCATTCAAAATCCAAAAATGTGTTTTCAATATCAAAAATGTAAAACTAAAGATTAAAAATTCATAATACACGGTTCATCGTTCTCCTAACACAAGGAAAACTAGTCTAATATGTTATGAAGAAGAAAACAAAAGAAATATTGAAGAATTGATATCACCCAAATAAATCTTGAATTGAATCTTTGAGTCTTGGAATCAATATTCGTGTTTCTTGCCTCCCAAAATCTCTTCTAACGTGTGGTAGTGCATGGTAATCACTTCTGGATGGCCTTAGGTCTTTAGAAGACATCCCAATATTTATTTCCATAAGAGTTGGAATCTTATAAAAAAATCAGAATTTTTCCTCCAAAAATGTACTCTGCTATAGCATAGTACATTTTCATGCTATAGCATAATTCAACCAATTTTAGCTCCAAAAGACCCTGCATCACACCATGCGACCACATGGATGAAAGAACTATATATAGCATAGTTCAAGTAAAATTTCATTCTTTGTGTTTTGGTCCCCAAACTCCATTTTCTCGTTTCTTGATCTCTTTTCTAGCTTCTTCTTCTTCCAGTACTTCATATCTTCATTAAATTGGTCTTTGACTCTTTACATCTTGGTTTCTTCTTTCGGGTCATCTTTCGGCTATTTTCACTTTGGTCCCTATAAACGTTGATTTTCTTTGATTTTAGTCTTTTTTTTCGCTTGTTTGCTCCTAATTTCTACCATGTCCATCAGTGTTATTGTACAAAATATCATTTATATAAAATTAAGCCATATTCCAATATAAATACCAACAATTATCCATATTTTGTGACCTAAATAATTGTGTAAAATGTACTTATCAATAATGATCAATTGATTAATATAAGGAAACTATATACTCTTAAACATATTGCATCGTGTGAACCTAACGTCATATTCCCCAAAACAATACTTATGGAATCAAATTTAATTTTTTTTCACATAGATTTTGAACAAAATTGTAATTGTTTTACAACTTTGATCGTAATGAAAATGATATACTATACCTATGTTTTGTAATCGATTTAATATTAAAGTTGTTTTGGCTATCTTGATTCGGATATATATGAGACAAATCAAATTTCTAAAATTAAACATTATTAGACACCGACTTCTTCAATTTAGTTTATTGATGGAGTACAAAATGGTATCAGTGCCAATATTGTCCATTATAGCTTGGGATTTGTTCATGTTAAAATGAAAAACAACACTCCAGATCGAAGGAGAGCAAATTGGCGGGAATGGAGAATTCGTTTATGGTAAAAATCAATTTTTCAAACTTACAATGGAAAAGGGGAAAAGTATTTATATAATCCTAACTACCAAACAGAAAGGAAGAAAATGAAATAGAATAACCCTCTAACATTTTTACATCTCAACACTCCCCCTTAAGATGGCAAGTGTATGTTTAACACTCCCATCTTGTTAAAAAGAAAAGCAATTCTTGTTCCCGACAAAGATTTGGTCAGTAAGTCTGCCAACTGAAGCTGAGAAACCTTATGCAGTATCTTGATTTCATTAGCCTGAACCTTGTCCCTCACCAAATGACAATTGATTTCTACGTGTTTGGTTCTTTCGTGGAAAACGGGATTACTTGCAATGTGTATGGCAGATTGATTATCACAGAACAACAAGAAAGGCCTGTTATGAACAACCTGTAGATTAATTAATATATTTTTCAGCCATGTAAATTCACAAACTGCTGCAACCATAAATCTATATTCAGCCTCAACTGAAGACCTTGAGATGGTATGCTGCTTCTTTGACTTCCATAACACTAGAGAGTTGCCCAAAAAGACACAATACCCTATAATACATCTCCTTGTATCAGCATACGCTGCTCAGTCAGCATCACAATATCCTTTAAGCTGAAGATCAGATTTCCTGGGGTAAAAAAGGCCTTGTGCTGGTGCATTCTTCAGGTATCTTAGAACATGATAGGCTGCCTCCAAATAAGGCTGCCTTGGAGACTGAAGAAACTGAAAAGTTGCACAGGATAAAATAAATTTGGCCTGGTTATAGTCAGGTATAAAATCCTCCCAACCAGCCTTCGATAAACACTAGGATCAGTTACAGGTTCCCCTTCATCCTTCTTCAACTTCAGATTGCACGGCAAGGGACTGCTTGCTGCTCTAGCACCAAGAAAACCAGCATTAGTGAGAACATCTAGTAGATATTTTTTTTTTGGCAAATAGAAATCCCTGTTGAATTTCTTGCCACTTCAAGGCCCAAGAAATACTTCAGACCTTCTAAGTCTTTGAGCTTGAATTGCTTATTTTACTCATCCTTAAACTCACCAATATAATCCAAATCATTTTCCCCAAGAATAATATCATCTACATATATCAAAAGAACAGTGAATGAGCAGCCATTTACTTTGCTAAACAGTGAATGATCAGACTTAGACTCTCTGAAACCCTGTGATAGAATATAAGAGGTAAGCTTTATGTTCCATTGTCGTGAAGCTTGTTTCAATCCATAAATTGACTTGTTTAGCCTACAAACCAGCCTTTCTCCTTGCTTCCCCTGCTGCTCATAACCTGGAGGCATAAGCATGTAGACCTCTTCAGCCAAGTCGCCATGAAGAAAGGCATTGTTGATATCCAACTGATGAAGAATCCAACATTTAGCAGCTGCAATTGCCAAGACAGTTTTCACAGTAACTAATTTCGCAACTGGGGAAAATGTTTCTTCATAATCCAACCCCGGTTGTTAAGTAAACCCCTTGGCTACTACGCGTGCGTTCTTCATTTTCTCTGTGCCATCAGAGTTTACTTTAACCTTGAAGACCCACTTGCAGGCAACAGGAGTCTTGTGGTTCTGGTGTTTTGTAACATCCTAGGTATGGTTAGAAACTAATGCATTATACACAGCATCCATAGCTGTTATCCAATCAGGATGCTGAGAGGCCTCAATGAAGGTTTTGGACTCGAAAGCAGTGGACAAAGCCAAGGCTTCGAGTCCAAAACCAAGGCATAATTTCTGTGATGAGAAGATAACGGAGCATAAC